ACCTGCCTCGGCAAATATCACTCACCGTGGCGACCTATCTGATAACATGCGTAACACATGTCCCAGACAACCTAATCTATGGAGGTCGATCACTTGCTCCAGTGGGCGACCGCAGTTGCCTAAAACTTTGCGCCTGACCTCAGCATTGCTCGTCCGACTGCCGCACCAGATTCGTGCAATGCTGCGTAGACAGTGATGTTCAAACACCAGCTGTCTATCTTTATCCTGTTTTCTTAATGGCCAAGTTTCTGCTCCATGTAGCAGAACTGACCGGACTGCTGCAGCATACACTCAACCTTTAACAGACAGCCGAATTTCGCGACGGCGCCACAGATGTCTCAAGTTGACAAATGCCAATCGGGCCTTCTGTACGCGAGCTGACACTTAATCCGTGATGCGTCCACCGGGTGATATTTAGCTGTCCGGATAACAAAACTTATCCACCTGCTCTATTACTTCCACAAACCGTTCTATAGTGCAGTCCTGTTGATAGAATCGAAGGCCACGCAAATGCCTAAAAACACAGTCATCGTTGACTTTTGGGAAACACGAATGTGGTCCAGCAACCATCGGGACTAGCTTGTTTCTTGCTGGCCAACTCATCACACACAATGCCATCTGCGAAGAATAACGGACGCTAACAGCTTGGGCAATGCGGGGATAAGACTTAAACCCGTGTGGGTGGTAATGGCGTCGCGGTTTATTCACTTACCGTCGTGCGTTTGACCCGATGGTACGAGGTTCAAGCCCCGCTGCCCCCACCCGACTTCGGTGGTAGGCAGCTCTGCTGTCGTCCGGTTTAGTAGCACGCCTAACCTATCGGGGTTTTATGTGGTTCCGCTCCAAGTCTTGGGGCTAAGGTTGCCGGTTTCCACCACTGGACAGCAGGTCCTCATGACTATAGGGTTCATCCCGTCTGTTGTTGATCACACTTATGTGTTCAATAAAAAAGTCACAATGGGCCCTTCGTAAAGTTGAAGACAATAATCGATTTTCATCACCAGGAGAGGATACAATCTCCATTCATAACCTTGGAGAAAAAACTTGCAATCATCTGGCAAGCTTCTTGCCTCAATTGTTTGTTCCGACATGGGGATTGTAACCCGAATTTGCGTATGTCATCATCTTCTTCGAAATAACCGTAAACATACTCCTTTTTTATGAATCCTATTGATAGCTTTCTACCAAGCGGAGAGCAGTATGCCACGGAGAGCATTCCAGACTCACGGTTCGGAGTACCCCAACTAATTCACAGTCAACCGTAAACATCGGTCGTGGGCAATCAGTTACTGTATTGCCAAGGGTGAGGAGTTACTACTTGCCTGGGGCTCCCTGCGAAAAACACCACATATCTGTGGTGGATGTAGCCCGCCAGTAAATGAAATCATTATCGCTGGTCGAGTTTCGTTTACCTAACGAGGATCTCCAGAAGAGACGAATAAACCACACAATTTGCCTCCGGTCTATTTTACGAAGTCCGCTTACGGATTGGAGGTCCAGTAGTTCCATATCCGCCTTAATCATACTGCTCCAGGTCTTAAGTTGACCACTGACTCGGCAACGCCATCCATGGCATAGTGCAGTCTGACTCAAGAGTTGAGCGTCTGGTCTTCGGACCACATGACCAAACCAATGAAAGCGCTGGCATTGTACGATCTACGAAAGCTTGTCGATGTTCGCGCAGCGCATCAAACCGCATTATTGGAAACCCGATCTCTCCAATTTACTTTTGAGATGCGGAATAAGCACCAATGATCAAAGACCTCGGCCTTCCGTGTACCTTATACCCTTAGCAGCCATGTTTCACAACCATAAGTGAGGATGGGGCGAATGGGAGCCTGGCAAACCGGAAGCTTAATGTTTAAGCTTATTTCGCATCGGTTCTACAATGGTCTGCGGAGTTTTAAAAAGGCTCTTCTAGCTCCATCTATACAAAGTTATATTTCATTGGTTGCTTGGCCGTTTGGTCTGATTGTAGAGTCAAGATGCTTGAAAGCTTGGGCCAATTCGTCAAGCTCCCCGTTAGTCGTGAGGTCTTGGATCATGGCAGAAGTTTCGGTCGAAAATATCTTGGTTTTCAACGTGTTGGTCTCTAATTCAATTGCCCGGGCAATCTGATTGATGCGACTGACAACAGGTTGGAGATTGTCCCTAGCGTCCCCAAGTTCGACGACATCATCCGCAAACTGGAGATCTGCAATCCATGTACTGGGATACTCGACTAGTGCTGGTCACAGTATCCAATCTACGGTGTAATTGAATAACACCAGCAATAGGGGACAACCTTACCTGACTCCAGAGCTTGGTGTAAACTCAGCTGATTCTTCTCCATAGGTATGAACGCGTGCCCGGGTCCCTGACTGGTACGAATTCAAAAGCTTCATGAAATTATCGGGTATCTCATCGGATCGTAATATGCACCACAAAGATTATCCGTCGACAGAGTCAAAGGCAGCGCTGAAGTCGATGAAACATGTTGTGGTAGATCGTGGGGACTTATAGCGGAGTCCCAGAATCTTCCAGAGTGTAAAGAGTTGCTCAACACAGTCTGTTCTACGTTAAACCCCCTTGATTCTGACAGGTGCGGGTATCTTTGGCGACTGAGAAGCGGTTAAGCAGTATCATTGCCGCAGTACCGATTAGACGGATACCCCGATAATTTGCAAAGTTTGATCTACTGCCATTTTTTAACAAAGACTAACATTGAAGTTGCCCAGTCTTTTGGAAGAATTCTCTTACCCAAATGAAATGAAAACGAGAGTGCGGCGGATCGATCGGAATCANCAGTAGGCAAGCCTTGAATTGCTCTGATGGTACTCGATTTTCTCCACGATTGATGGAATTTATTTTTCGTCTTAGATTGTACATATGCAAGTTGCAGCCCAGAAGAAGTCAAGGATAAATGTTACCACAAATTTTACGACCTCTTTCTATCAGGAGATTTGGCCGCGAAATACATCGTCCATTTTCACACGAGGCCCTTGTCAGCCGGACACCTGTCGCTCAGAAGCGGACAACGGCTATTGGCTTTATTTTTTACCTGTCACCTATTTCTCTTCAGCGCGGTATTCACACGTTTTAATAACCGTTACACCACTTCACATCTTCTCTCTTCGAGTTAATGCTAAACTCAGAGTGACCACGTCGCTGTACCTTATTACCGGTCGTGATAGGTCACGCTCCTCAAATCGGAACACGCATTTGTTTACACTACTATCTTCCGGTGCTAGTCCCGAAACGCGCAACACATTGACGGGTAAACTGATAACTTGTCCCAAATAAGAGGTTTATTCACTTTTCGAAACTCGTTAGTGAATATCGTGGAGATATAACTATCTGAAAATGTTTGTCATCATTAGCTGCTTATCGAATGGACTGTGTTATGCTGATCTAACGAGCAGTTGCCTGAAAGCGTGTCGTGAAATTGGGCTTTGTCGTCGTTTCATCTTCTTGGTGCAGGCCGCTTAATTTCACGCGGTAGAGCTTAGCGAAACGTAACTCGTATATATATTTCATAATAAGTGGTATGTGAATGGTGGAACAATATTCCCCTGGAAGCACATGACCGGTTTCTTTCCGCTCGTCAGGCATGCGTATCCGGTAATCTTTTGTCAGTTCATTCATATACCTGTATCCAGGAAGTGGATTTTCGTCACAATGTAATATCCCTGTAATGTCCAAACAAATTAGTCGAGGGTTTCATTGACTTGATTAAATCGGGATCACTTTTTACAACCATGCGCTTTCGTACGTCAGTTTTGGTTACTGTCTTTCGGCCGCTCGTTTGGATAAAAGAGCAAACTAAAGATTCGAATGTTCAGAGCAGAACATAGAGAATTCATATAGACTGTGGTTGCAAAGAAATAAAGAAAATGCACTAGCGCCACTGTTTACCTCAATTAGCCGTATCACTCAACGTCTCTTACCACCAGTTTCCATGATCTCGGGCCCCCCACCCAGGAAGCCTAAAACGATCTGTGACCCAGTCTCCTGGTTTCATACCCTTACGTCAGGTCTTCGTTTGACCGCCCATGATTTTTTTCCAACCGCTACCTACCTCGACAAAAATTGCTCGCCGTGGCAACCTATTTGGTGACATGCGCAGCACATGTAAATCTCGACCACTTACTCCAGTGGACGACCGCGATTACCTAAAACTCAGTGCTCAACCTCAGCATTGCTAGTGCGGTTGCCCCACAAGACTCGTGCAATGCGACGTAGACAGCGGTGTTCGAGCAGTGACAATTAATCTTAATCATGTTTCTGTCATGGCCAAGTTTCTGAACATCACTGGCCGAACTGTTGCAGCATATACTCTACCCTTCACGAACAGCCGGATTTCGCTACGGCGCCATGAATGTCTCAAGTTAGCAGATGCCAAACGATTCTTTTGTAAGCGTGGCGACACTCCATCTGTGATGCGTCTGCCAGGTGCTGCCCAAATAGCAAAACTGGTCTACTTTCTCTACTACTTCCCCGGTCAGAGTGAGGTTGGGAACTGGGCCAGGTTAATCTTGGAGCAGCATTTTACACTTTGAGGGTGCAAAACGCATACCGAACATGGCTACACTAGCACTCAAGCTATCCAGAAAAGCTTGCAGCTTACCTAAATCTTCACTCAGTAGCACAATGTTGTCTGCATACTGTAGATCAGGCAGTCTGCTACCTGGGAGTAAATCGATGCCGCTATCCTCGCACGAAAATAAGGCCGCTTCAAGAATTAAATCCACGATAAATTTAAATAGAAATGGAATGAGAGGAACAACCCTGTCGAACACCACTCGGGCGAAAAAGTACCGTAAGCTGGGACTCGACTTCGGCTGTTACCATAAAGAAATCACAAAATTCAAATGATTAAATGAATAAATGCAAAAAGATTATTGCGTTATATTTGACGTGTCTGTGTCATGATGCAGTAGTGTTTATAACATTGAAATCGGACAGAATTAATAAAATTTTGACCTGACTTTTCCTTCACCATTATTGTTTTTTATCTTTAGGCATGTACAGGAATTACGGATATCGCGTTTTGCATAGGCCTTTTGGAGGCGAACGATTGGGACTTAGCTGCTGCGTACTCTACTGCAGTGAAAGACGGCGTTTCGGGTAAGTTCAGTGGAACCATTTATCTCTGTATTCAATGGATGTATTCAATGTTTTTTCAAGTTATGTCGAAAAAGGTCCAATCGTTTTAAGTCACATTGTTCTGCCAGCGTTATGAAACTTCACATTCAACTAAGATAGAATAACGTGAGGTTTGCCTTCTTTTTCGATTCACGCTAGAAGTTGAATCAACGAAAACAATTTTTCACCTCTGAACATGTTTTCAAAAAGCAAATTTCAATAACTATATACTTTTTCCACACAGAAACCTTGGATTTGGACTCACCATCCCTTATTCTTAATCTTCATTCATATTCC